CGTTATCAACGACATCCAATGTCCATAGTCAGGAAACCATGACCATCTATTGATCAACGAGCTAGTCAACTAGAGGCTTACTAGGGACATGGTGTTGTCTATGTATCCACACATGTATCTGGGTTTCCTATCAATACAATTATAGCATGGATAATAAACGATTATCATGAGCAAGGAAATATAATAATAACTAATTTGTTATTGCCTCTAGGGCATATTTCCAACAGCGCTCCCCTCTTCCCCCTTGGCCGCACCCAAGATGGGTTTTGGGGGCTGCCACCACCCCTAGGGAGGGAACCCTAGATGGGGGTGCAACCCCTCCCCTTCCCCTATATATACTTGAGGTATTGGGGGCTGCAAGACACGCGAGTTATTCTCTCCAAGGCGCAGCCCTACCTCCGTCCCTCCTCGCCTCTCGCGGTGCTTGGCGAAGCCCTGCAGGATTGCCACGCTCCTCCATCACCACCACGCCGTCGTGCTGCTGCTGGATGGAGTCTTCCCAACCTATCCCTCTCTCCTTGCTGGATCAAGGCATGGGAGACGTCACCGGGCTGCATGTGTGTTGAACGCGGAGGTGCCGTCCGTTCGGCACTAGGATCGTCGGTGATTTGGATCACGACGAGTACGACTCCATCAACCCCGTTCACTTGAACGCTTCCGCTTAGCAATCTACAAGGGTATGTAGATGCACTCCCCTTTCCCTCGTTGCTAGATTACTCCATACATTGATCTTGGTGATGCATAGAAAATTTTGAATTTCTGCTTCGTTCCCCAACACGCCCAACCGCACACTCGAGCGCTCCCGTCGCCCCTTTCTTCTTCGCATCTGGCACCCCTGCCCCCGCCGCCGCGCCCTTCTCCCGCCGCTGACATGCCGTCGCATGATGTCTACTACACAACCTTCTTCTTGTAGACGTTGTTGGGCCTCCAAGTGCAGAGGTTTGTATGACAGTAGCAAATTTCCCTCAAGTGGATGACCTATGGTTTATCAATCCGTGGGAGGCATAGGATGAAGATGGTCTCTCTCAAACAACCCTGCAACCAAATAACAAAGAGTCTCTTGTGTCCCCAACACACCCAATACAATGGTAAATTGTATAGGTACACTAGTTCGGCGAAGAGATGGTGATACAAGTGCAATATGGATGGTAGATAAAGGTTTTTGTAATCTGAAATTATAAAAACAGCAAGGTAACTAATGATAAAAGTGAGTGTAAATGATATTGCAAAGGTAGGAAACAAGGCATAGGATTCATACTTTCACTAGTGCAAGTTCTCTCAACAATAATAACACAGATAGATCATATAACAATCCCTCAACATGCAACAAAAAGTCACTCCAAAGCCACTAATAGCGGATAACAAACGAAAAGATTATGGTAGGGTACGAAACCACCTCAAAGTTATTCTTTCGGATCAATCTATTCAAGAGTTCATACTAGAATAACACCTTAAGACACAAATCAACCAAAACCCTAATGTCACCTAGATACTCCATTGTCACCTCAAGTATCCGTGGGCATGATTATACGATATGCATCACACAATCTCAGATTCATCTATTCAACCAACACAAAGTACTTCAAAGAGTGCCCCAAAGTTTCTACTGGAGAGTCAAGACAAAAACGTGTGCCAACCCCTATGCATAGGTTCATGGGTGGAACCCGCAAGTTGATCACCAAAACATACACCAAGTGGATCACATGATATCCCATTGTCACCACAAATAAGCACGACAAGACATACATCAAGTGTTCTCAAATCCTTAAAGACTCAATCCGATAAGATAACTTCGAGAGGAAAACTCAATTCATCACAAGAGAGTAGAGGGGGAGAAACATCATAAGATCCAACTATAATAGCAAAGCTCGCGATACATCAAGATCGTGCCATAGAGAGAACACGAGAGAGAGAGAGAGAGAGAGAGAGAGAGAGAGAGAGAGAGATCAAACACATAGCTACTGGTACATACCCTCAGCCCCGAGGGTGAACTACTCCCTCCTCATCATGGAGAGCGCCGGGATGATGAAGATGGCCACCGTTGATGGATTCCTCCTCCGGCAGGGTGCCGGAACGGGCTCCCGAGAGGTTTTTGGTGGCTACAGAGGCTTGCGGCGGCGGAACTCCCGATCTATCTTCGTATTCGATGGTTTTAGGGTATAAGGGAATATATAGGCGAAAGAAGTCGGTCGGGGGAGCCTCGAGGGGTCCACGAGACAGGGGGCGCGCCCAGAGGGTGGGCACGCCCTCCTATCTCCTGGCCTCCTCGAAGCTTCCCTGGCTTGTACTCCAAGTCTCCCGGATCATGTTCGTTCAAAAAAATCACGCTCCCGAAGGTTTCGTTCCATTTGGACTCCGTTTGATATTCCTTTTCTTCGAAATACTGAAACAGGCAATAAAACAGCAATATGGGCTGGGCCTCCGGTTAGTAGGTTTGTCCCAAAAGTAATATAAAAATGTATAATAAAGCTCGTAATCATTCAAAACAGATAAGAAAATAGCATGAATGCTTCATAAATTATAGATACGTTGGAGACGTGTCATCGCGTCGCCGAAGCAGCTCGGGCTACCGCGGCGTCCGCGTCCACCCTTCCGGCGCGTTCTACTCGGAGATTCGCTCTGGCAACATGCGTCTCGGTCTCGGGACGTTCGAGACCGCGCACGAGGCCACCCGCGCGTACGACGCTGCGGCATGGCGCCTCTCCAGGCCACGCTCGCAGATAAACTTCCACAACGCGCAGACGTGCCAGCATGCGCAGGAGCTCGTGCTGCCACCACGTATGGTAACAGACGAGGACCGTCAGGAACACCGCATACGCCAGCGCCGCCTCCTCATCATCGAGGTGGATGAGCTAGCCATGGCGGAGTGGCGCCAGCGCTACCCGCAGGACGTCGCCGACAAGAATGTCTTCTGGGCGAAGAGGAGGGTAAAGAGCGACACGGACCGGGCGGACAGGCGTCGGCGGAGGCACTGGCGATATCGCAGTGCGATCTGGGACAGGCATTGTTCTTTGAGGACAACGATCCTCGTTGGGAAGACGCATTTCTTGATACCTCGGACAACACCAGCGAGGATGAGGACAACTCGAAGTAGTTTCTAGTTGCACAGTAGTTTTTATCTATTTATTGTATGGGACTAGTGTCTTTTTTTCATTTATCTATGCTATGATGACTATCTATGCTATGAACAATCTATGTATCATTTTTTATCTAGTTTATTTATCTATGCCTATGTTTTTTTATTTGTTTGGAGTGCATATCTTGTTTGAGTTGAGCGCGCACGCCGTCTTTTGCAGCGCCTGCTGAAGCGGCTCGAACGCGCTATATTTGCAGCGGCCGCTGGAGCCAGCGCACCGCGGCGCGTAAAAACTCGTGATTCCGGCGCTGTAAACGGCTTTTTAGCGCGCCGCGTGTTGCGCCGCTATTGGAGATGCTCTTATAGAAATCTAGAAAGCCACCTCTGGGCTGAAGCAAACTTGTTGAAACCCAAGAGCTTCTACAAGCAGCGGCCAGAGCAAACCAGAAGATGTTGGCGACCGTGATTCTTGGAGAAAAAATGTCATGGATTTATTTTAGGCTCTCCTGTGCTATTTTCATTTTTTCGGTGGTTTGGTGTGCCTGCCAACTATGAGGTGCCTATGACGACTTTGTCAATATCAAGATCTTCCGGTTCAATCTCTCTGAAGTACTCATAGAGATAGGGTTGTGTGCGCGTGTTCATAAAGAGGAGTGTGCGTGTGTTGTGAGCTTCTGTCGGTATTGTGTTTTAAAGAAAAAAGTTCTTTGAGGACAAAGAAGGAGAAAATCACTCTATGATAGAAGGGAGAGAAACTCTAATTTTTCTTAACCGGAGAGAAGAAACTCATTAATATTTTTCGAGGGGTATAAAGTCAAGTTTAATTGACCAAATGCGATAGAATGTGGAATACTTCTCGGATTATGGGGTTGACCTTGCCACACATAGCGCCCCCAACCTAACAAATGCGAAAATTTGGCTAGACTATGTGCTTCATGGTCCGAATCACGACCTTTGAACGTAAATTTAAAATTAAATAGATGCCCGCAGTCTCACTTATAATGAGACACAACGCCCTTGATTGCCCTTGCTGATATCTCTCCCACTACTTGCTTTGAATCAGAAGCAACGATGAGTTGCTGAAGGAGAAGAAGATCTTCTGCTAGGGATAAGGCCTCCCTACAAGTGATTGCCTCGAGTGTTGCCGGATCTTAGACACCACGAATCATCAAAACCGAGCTCCCAAGCGATCGGCTCCTACAAGCGATTGCCTTGAGTGTTGCCGGGCCTTGGACACCACGAATCACCAACACCGAGCTCCGAAGAGATCGTCTCCCTACAAGCGGTCGCTTCGAGTGTTGCCGGATCTTGGACCATTAACAGCGGGGAGTCCAATGTCTAATGATTAAAATTCGAAGAGGTTTTTTTTTAGATTCATTAAAATTCGAAGAGGTAAGCCTATAGGATGAAAAATTGGGTCCAAGTAGAGCCCAATGCTGAAGCGAACGACAAGAACAGAGAATGGCAGCCCATTTCTCACCGGCTCCCATTTCTTTCCTTCCCCACACCACAAGTAGACCACCGCCGCCATCGCCGCCGCCGGCGGCGGCCGCCTGCGCCATGCTCCGCCTCCGATGTCTAATGATTAAAGTTTAGAATTTCAAATTTTTGTTCGCTTTCTTTTACAAAAAATGCTCCCACTTTCAAATTTTGCTCGGGAATTTCGAAAGATGTTTCCACTTTTAAATGGGTCTTGGACCATTAACAGAGGGGGAGTCGACGATTAAAAATTGGGCCGAATTAGAGCCCAGCGCTGAACCGAATGACAAGAACCGAAAATGGCAGCCCATTCTCACCGGCCCCCATTTCTTTCCTTCCCGACAGACCACACAAAAATACCTCCGCTGCCGCCATTGCCGCCGGCCGCCGCCGCCGCCGCCATCGCCGCCGGCCGCCGCCGCCGCCGCCGCCGGCCGCCTGCGCCATGCTCCGCCTCCGAGGGCGCATCGTTGCCCATCTCCTCTCTTTCTCCTCCACCTCTGGCCCGGCCATCTCCCCCCTCCACCGGCTCCTCTCCGCATCGGCAGCCGCCGGCCCCATTTCCCCGAACCCCAGTGGATTCGCCGTCGAGGAGTACCTCGTCGACACCTGCGGGCTCACCCGGCCCCAAGCCCTCAAGGCCTCCACCAAGCTCTCCCACCTCAAGTCCCCCGCCAACCCCGATGCCGTCCTCGCCTTCCTCTTCGGCGTCGGCCTCTCCGGCGCCGACGTCGCCGCCGTCGTCGCCAAAGATCCGCAGCTCCTATGCGCGAAAGTGGACAAAACCCTGGCTCCGGTGGTCGATGGGCTCACCGGCCTCGGCCTGTCGCGTTCCGACATCGCCCACGCCTACTTCCGCTGTAGATCCATAGTCCCCAAGCTGCACTACTACCTGCCCCTCTTGGGCTCCTCCCACAACTTGCTCCGGCTGCTCAAGCGGGGAGGATCCCACCTTCTGTCATCGGACCTCGACAAGGTTGTCAAGCCCAATGTTGCCTTCCTGAGGGAGTGCGGGCTAGGTGATTGTGATATTGCCAAGCTGTGCATCCATCGGCCAAGGATGCTCACCACCAACCTGGAGCGCGTCCGGGCGATGGTGACATGCGCCCAAGGTATAGGCGTGCCCCGTGGCTCTGGGATGTTCATACAAGCGCTACATGCTGTCGCATTCCAAAGCGAGGAGAAGATTGCCGCCAAAGTGGACTACTTGAAGAACACATTCAGGTGGTCTGCTGCTGAGGTGGTTATTGCTTTGTCTAAGGCTCCGATGCTGCTGAGGATGTCAAAGGACATGCTACAGCGCAAGTCCGAGTTCCTGCTATCTGAGGTGGGGTTGGAGCCCATGTACATTGCTCATCGACCGATAATTATTTGTCTTAGCCTGGAGGGCCGGGTCAGGCCCCGGTACTATCTTGTAAAGTTTCTCAAGAAAAATGGACTGCTAGATCGTGACTTGAGCTTCTATACTGCGGTCAAGATGACTGACAAGGTATTTGTGGAGAAACTCATATCCCCTCACAAGGAAGCTGCGCCACACCTTGCTCAAGACTATGCAATAGCTTGGAAAGGGGAAGTGCCTACTAATTTCTGATTTACATGAACAAAGAAGGGCTATGGAAATTGGGTACAGCCTATGGCACAACAAAGTTATCACCCTGTCTGTAAGCTGGTACTTCCTGTTTCGGTGTTCTTTGCCTAAGATGATGATGTTGGTTGTTTACTGTAGTATGCCTGTTACATGCTAGTTAGTCATTGCTAAGTGCTAACTCCTTATGAAACTGAAAATTTGATTCCTGAACCCCCATATGTTGATGTTGTCATTTCTTAGAGAAGATCTCTGTAAATGAGAAGTCCATGGATATATATTTGGTTCCGACTTCCATTTTGAAGATAATGTAAATTGGATGTGTGGGTGGATCAATTTTGTGCCGAAACCAGCACCCATGAAACCAGAAAGCAAAAGACTAACAATGTGTCATTTTCCACTGAAATGTATCACCCTGCTGTTCGGATTCATAAACTTTTCTTTAAAAAGTTTTACTTGAGCAAAATTAATGGTTAAGATGCTAGATTTTTTCACTTGTATTAGACTTAATTTTTTACTCATAAGTTCCAGCTAACCATCTCTCAAATAAAAGAAGATGGACCCAATTAGTCTGATGTAAATTTTCTACTGCACTTTAACATAATATTGTGAGGCTGAATTACCATAATTAAGCATGAGTATATTTTTCTTAATTTGAAACGATGGATGACCGCAGATGGGTTGAGTTTTGTGATGTTCAGTTCTGACTATTTAACATTCATTTTTGACCGAAGAACTGGATGTTTCGATTGATGTGTCTGGTCAAATATGTATGTATGATTAAGGTGAGTGTTGTGTTTCTCAGGTTTACACTGCAATGACCACTGTTCTTTCTTATAAACAGAAAGTGGATTTATATACTAGGTCCGCATGATTGTTCTCCTTGGGCAAGGTCGCTACAGCTGTATGCCTATTTCGGTGATTATTCACTTTATAAGAATGCAAATGTATGATTTAAAACTTAATTAGCATCTCTTGTTCTGCAAGATACTGCTGTCCAATAAATAGTAGTAGTAGCGACAGTCAGTTCTTGGTACAGTGTGTAGTCTGGCTGAATACTGAAAGAGTTTGGTGCAGACTTGTCCATCTCTCTTGTTGCTATGAGGTGTGCCCTTTCAGAAACCACCATTGTGTTGTGCCACAACCGTTTATGTTTACATAGCTTCTAACTTCCAGCTACAAAGATTTAAGTGCCCACAGTTGCAAAAGAAAAGAGTCCACATCCAGTACTCAGCTTATTTCTTACAGTTAGTTCTGCTTTAGTTGCATTCTATTGCAGTTAATAACTTACTATTGTATCTTCAGTTCATTCTATTTAACTTACATTTTTTTCAAGACTAAAACTATGAATTTCGACCATCGTGTGTTATATGAAATAAAAATAATAATAATATGAAAGAATATTGCAAGAGAAATTTAATGAGTGATTGCATGCTCCCTCAGCAGTAGCAGCGCAGCTCGTGGCATTCTAGGCATCATCATCTGGCACTGGTGTTTTCCTTGCCAGAAGCAGTCGAGCCCAGCCGAAGGAGAAACGGCTGCTGTTGTTGCCTAACCCCAAAAGGATAGATGCACGGCTCTGAACTTTTAGGATACCAGCTGTTGTTTTTTATCTTTTGAGTGGGTAATTTCAAATTGAAATCGAGAATGTTACCTGCTGATAAGCTGCTGCAGCCTGCAGGTACTCATCGCCATCTTGATCTCGGTTTGAGAAGTAGAGATGAACTCCTTTCAACTTAGGACTAGTTATGTTTGATTTAACTAGGCGATCCACTTACCTAGTCATCTCCGGTCCTTGCTTTCAATTTCTGAACCCTCCCAGTGTTTCATCTTTCATGGCGGCGGTGACCATCAGACCCCACCGAGCATTGTCAATGGTTTCTTGTTCTGATTGGAGACAAGCTTTTGGCTGGAGCTCTGGAAGCGACTGAAATTGGCAGTGTCTGCTCCATGGACTGCGGTTCTGATCTGTATGTTTTCCAGTTTGTACAAGCTCGCTTCAGTATGTATGCACACGTCAAACCAGAATGTTAAGACCCAAAATCAAAGAAATAGAACCTCGGCGTCATATAGCTAGGCTGAAGCGATACATCCAATCCATGAACCGCTAGCTAGGCTGGCTTCAGGTAAAAAGAAAAAGAAAAACAGCAACGTTTCTGATAACAGTCTGGAAGCATCGCAGTACTCATTGTACCACTCACAGCAAGCATATACAGTACAAGCAAGATTTACTAGGCCCAAACATTTCCAAACTCTGTGTGCTTTAGTTGCATCAGTTTTACAGCTCAAGAAAAGAAATCAAATACACAGTGCAAATGTTAATTAATTATGACAGCAGAGTTCATCGAGAGGCAGATTGATCGAATTAACAGAGGGATGCCTTGGGTGCACCTGTGCGACGATCTTCAAGGCAGACTTGGCTTCACCGGTTTGAGAAGTAGAGATGAACTCCTTTCAACTTCGTAGAGGAATGTTAGTTTAGTTTGGAGCTCTTTGGTTTTCTTCATTTATCCTTCTTTCTCAACGGTTTTCTTTGGGTTTTTTGCTTTTCTTTCTTTTTATGGTTTATTACATCAGTTTTAGAACATTTTTGATTGATTTTTTTGTTTCCTATGTTCTATTTGTATCATTTTCCCTTGGTTTTGTATGTTCATTTACATGTACATGTGAAACATTTTTTCTACATGTTAAACATTTTTAAAATACAAAATAAACTTCTTTTTTTAAATAAATGTTTTTTAAGGTCAAGTGCATTTTTTATACACGTTTTAGCATTTTTTTCATACATGACTAGCATTTTAAATACAATGATTAACAGTTCTTTCAAATACATGTTCGATGTCTGCTTTTTTCATAAACAATGAACATATTTCATATACATCTGAAACATTTATTTGATATACAATTAAAAAATAAAATAGATGATTAATATTTTTATAATGTCTCATATATTTTTCTGAAATGCGTGAACATTTTAAAAATGCCACAAACATACTTTTGTATGCTATAATTTTTTTATATATACGTTTAATTTTTTTGTAATGTCACAGACATTTTTTTAAACACGTTTTTTTAATGTCAAAATTTGTATTCTTAGTATGCTATCAGCATTTGCTTTTGAATAAAACTAACATTTGTTTTACATTGTGTTATTTTTTAAAAAATTCAGGATTTAAATTATTTCTATTTTTTTGCGTTGAAATATATGTAATTACGATATTTCATACAATAATAATAAAATAAAATATAACGAACAAAGGAAAAAGAACAACAGAAAAGATGAACTTACCTGGAACATACCTGGGCCGGCCCACTCACGAGCTGTTGCTCAACTCGCGTTAAGCGAGGTGTACACGCACCCCCATCCAAGGTGGGCTGTTCTTTGGTAAGAAGCGCCCAAATCACTAGTTAAGGAGTACTCGTTGTGAAGATCATTCTAATTTCTCAGGTTGCGACAAGCGGCGTGCTGCACGTGCGTCACTTGTCGCAACCTGAGAGTTTTCCCTTTTTTTTGTAGATCTGTTCATTCAAAACGTTTTCTCTTAAATCGTGCATCCAAATCTCGAACCGCTTTCGCCGTTGGATTCCTCGCGTCTAGATCTTCAAAACTAGATCCCATGTTGATAGATTTTGATGAACTTTTTTTTCACGATAAAACCGGACGAAAAAACCGAACCGGGAGCACGGATTTTTCCCTTTTCGAAAGAGGCACGCCCGTGCCTTTGACGAAATCACAACCGTGCCTCTCGCGGAAGCAAAACCGTGCCTCTCACAAAAAAGAAGAAGAAAAAATGGGTTTTTTTCGTTTCCGAGAAGGCACGGCCGTGACTCGCGAAAGCACAATCATGCCTCTCGCGGAAGCAAAACCGTACCTCTCGCGAAAGAAGAAAAAGAAAACAGAAAATGCGTTTTTTTTTCGTTTCCAGGAGGCACGGCCGTGACTCTCGCGAAAGCACAACCGTGCCTCTCGCGGAAGCAAAACCTTGCCTCTCGTGAAAGCACAACCGTGTCTCTCGTGGAAACAAAACTGTGATTCTTGCGAAAAAAAAGAAAACACACTTTTTTGCGCAAAAAAGACAAAAATATTGGTCGAAAAACTAGGGAAGACCGGTGAAAAACCAAAATATCAAAAGAACAAAAAACCGTTTAAAAAGCCGAAAACGCGTGCGGAAAATTAAAAAAAGAAATCCGAAGGAAGCACCCAGAGCGCGACACGTGGCGAATCGCTGAGAGCGTGCCAAGTGGCGTTGATTGTTGCGAGGCTTCCGAAGGAACGCTCGTTAATTAGTTGCTCTCGTTAATCCAACAGTCACGAACCTGAATGGGATATTGTTAAATCTCAGTCACCTGAGATTTAGCAAAACCGAAAAAGAAGAGTATACTGTGTGTTCTACATGAATTTTGACAAAATAAATAAATTATTCCAGGCTTAGAGCAAGAATGGAGGATGGATGTTTAGGTCATTGTTTAATACTCCCTCCATTTTAAAATATAGTGCGCCCATGCTTCACGAGGTTTGACCAAAAA